ATTCTAGAGGTCGTGTCGGTATGTTAGTTTCTAATTTAAAGTTATTTTTTTGTGATTATGTTGCGTTAAGTCGAAATTTTATGTTGATCCAACTGAAATGGATGAAAGGTCCACTTTCCGATAAAAACAAACGGTATACTTAAATTTCCGACCCTGTTTTTAATGGCGTTTGCGTGTTTGCGGTAATTCGAGACCTAACCATGGGGGCGTTCTTAATTCTAGAGTGGGGGTATTTTGGTAGCAGCCTTGTATTACGGTTTGTAATCTCATGTCGCAAGTGAACCGAATTGGCTCCGACCGCATGAGGGGGAAAAACACAAGAGACAGTGTCCCTGACTCTTGAGCCAATGGTTATAGGGCCTATTTCACTTAGCCTCATATGTGACTTAAGTAGGCGACTGTTACATAAGCTAAGACTAAGTGAACTGAGAATGCTTCCATTATCGTATTACTTTGAACTTCATGATCTGTTAATGCTAGTATCAATGATGACAGGCAGTTACAACATCAAACTACCGATAAAGTCGAATACGAAACCCAATGATGATCTTTTATTAACAAGACAAAAAGATCTATCATTGATAACAAAACTCGAAAAAAAAGGCCGACAAAAATTTTTGAACCAGTCAATTATTAAAATTAATACGAAAAAATGGAAATAACGATCTCGATTAAATTAACAAACCATACCTAGAAAAGTGATACTGAAATTTTTTCAACATAGATTACTCTAAAGTCAACTTATGTTCCTGGGTTTTTATATGCAACTGTGTACATTGCAACCCGATGCAGAAAACCAGCTCAGCGTTCAAGCGATTGGTGCAAACCCTTGTGTAAAACACAGAAGTCTAAACTCTTTCTTTCAATACAGCATGCGAACGCTGCCTGTGTACTCGTCACTAATAATGATGAAGTTGCTTCCGAAGAAAATTTTTTTTTGATCGAGCCACGTCGCTTTCCACCTTTTGGATTCACTTTCAATTCCGATTTATTATGTGCTGGTTTATTCTGTGTTAGTCTTCTGAATATGGTTGGCTTGATTCCCAACCATCTGAGTCGCTTTACTTCTATCCACATTATACTTCCCACTAATTTTCTTCAACAGAGAAACTCCCTCTCCATCTTTGTCCAAGTCATTATTTTTGATTTTCAAAATTGCCTTAGGCAAAAGCTTCTCTCCATCCTTGTGGAAGATAAGTGAAGTGATACCAATATTTAAGGACCAGAACAGAGCAATGATTGAGCAGTACCGACTCATTAGTCTTTTTATGCAGCATATGAAAAGTCCTGGAAAAATGTATTTTTGATGAGTTATACGACATTGTAGGAAAGCAACTATACCAATCGCATCACGGATTTGTAAGACATCGGTCACTTGTTACTCAACTACTTTTGTTTTTAGACCTTATTTACAAAGAACACGATGAAAAGGAAAAAAATCTTTTTGTGTTATACCTTGACTTCAAAAAATCTTTTGATAGTGTTTCACACGACTTGCTGCTCCAAAAACATAAAAATTAGACACTGGAGATAATTTTCTGCTAGTAAAAAAATGCTAGTTAATTATCTGACCGCCAACAGTATGTTAGAGTAAATGACTGCATTTCTGAAACAGTGCCTGTCACTAGTTGTGTACATCAAGGTTCCTTACTCGGCCCGGTACTTTTCTTAAGATATGTGAACAATCTACCAAAGGAAATTACAGAATAGTAAGCGTACGGTTATGGGGATAACTTCAAGTTTTGTAACTTCGATGCCAGAAAAGATACAGAAAGATTTATCGAAAGAGGAAGATTGGTGCAATGCTAGTAAAATGAAAGTAAAGGAGGACAAATGCTATATCTTACCATCCAAACAGAAAGCAGGCGTAAAGAATGACTTCATGTTGAATTAAAAACAGCTTTCTAAAACAAATGAACAAAAAGACTTTGGATTGATTATGGCAAGAAAACTATCATGAAAACCAAATGTCGATAAAATGTGTAATAAAGCATGGAAAGCATTCTACTTCCTTAAAAGAAACATCTCCGCTCTTGTTGATAAAAACACTAAACTCAATGCGTACGTAGGATAAGTAATGTCTGTAATAAGTTTTGCATCACCAGCTTAGTTCGCGAAAAAACCGAAAGTAAAGAAATAGATTGTGTAGAAAGGAAGGATAATAGGATGAACTATCAGGATAATAGGAAATTGGGATAAGAGCTATAAACCAAGACTAACTGAAATGAGACTGCTTCCATTATCAATTTTGTTGAACTGTCTGAGCAGTTAATGCTAGTATCAATGTTGAAAGGCAGTTACAACATCAAACTACCAATAAAGTCAGTACGAAACCCAATGACGACCGTTTATTAACAAGACAAAAAGATCTAAGAAGAAGAATTTTAAAGCTATGACCATCGTCAGGTTAATAAAACTGATATAGGGCAAAGTTTACATTTAAAAAATTATAAAAGACCATTAAGTGGTTCCAAACGAAAAAAATCTTTCCACCAATCAAATTTTAGCCTTATTACGTAAGAATTTCGTAAGCTTAAGTTTTCCATAACTTTCTGAGATTTTTGAACTTACTTAGCGTTTCCTTAAACTAACTTTTTGATTTAAATTTTTTTTTTGATTGACATGTTCCATATTTTAAGTCAAAAATGTTTTTGAACTAAAATTAAAGTGTTAGCTCCCTGCTCCTGAACTCATCCCGCGTCTGTTGATCCCTGGCCTCAGTTTCCTAATATGCAGCGTTTCCAATGTTAGGAGTTTAATTGCGTTGTTTGAGTGATCTCTCATCTCAAAATTTAATTGTGCAGTGGTCGCTTCCTCCCCACACTGACGTATGTGAAAGCCAACAGGCGAGTCCTCTTTCTTGTGCTCCTCAATCCTTGTGACCAAATGTCGAACAGTTTGTCCAACATATGTGGAAGTAAATACACAAGACAGTTTGTAGACCACACTGAACTTCAGATCACGTGAGAATGACGACGGGATGGAAGAGCGGTTTTCAATTTCCTGGTGATAAACACAATTTGTGCGTTGGTGATGCTGCGCACCTTGTTTGCTAACATTTGACTTTGATTTCCTCGATATTCAAGCATGAGCATTAAGGGTTTCTCGTCTCGCTTGTCATCTGTTGCTCCGGGTTTCTGTCTTAAATGGTAATAATTTAGCTCTAAGAATTTTGCTTAGTGTTTCTGACTCAAATTCGGAAGACCACTCCACTGGGTATTGATTTAACTTCCATTGCTTTTTATTGATCAGCCTTGCTTTATGGTAAGAATTCCATTTTGGATGTGCTTCTAAAATTTCTGTGCACTATACCCTCTATTTTATTTCTCTGGTACTGCAATGATGCGCAACTTCTGAAGTTTAGAAGCGTGCCAGTATCCGTTGGTTTTTGTTAGCATCCACATTTAACTTGCCTGCTGCCATCTAAATTTTTTTAAAGTCTAGAAAAGCTAAGTCACTGTTCTCATTTGTTGTTTCAAGCGTGAATTTTAAGTTAGGCTGCAATGTGTTGGCAGCATGCAATACCACGCTCGGGTCGCCTTTAACAGTCCCTACAATATCGTCTAAATATCGTAGGAAAAGCTTCCCACCTATCATCATCAGCTCACCTTCACGCCTCTCATTGCACAGTTTGCACAATTTCTGATATGTCTTTTTAATCCTCATCCGAAATACCACCACAATTTTTATGACACCAGTTCAAACAATCCTGACATTCCACTGCTTTGGTTCTGAAAGTCAATTTTCAATTGCTTTTTGGGAATTTTCCTTTCATGTCCTTTAGGATATCAATCTTTTGAGGGATATCCATAGCCAGATCTTTTTCATAGTCTTTCAACCAAAGGATTGCCAGAATGACTGTCAGGGATGCACCCATAGCCAATTCGACCTTCTGTACATACCATGTGTCATTTCACTTAAAATGGACATTACTTACAGCTATGTACAAAAGGCGTTTCATCGTACTTCTTGACAAATCAGGTGGCTCATTCTGGCTGCATATATTTTTGAGCGCAATGTCAATGGCGTCTTTGAGTGAAACTTTTGTGGACAGGTTTTTCACATCCAGGGAAAAGATACTCTCATCAGAGTCTAATTTAGTATTCTCTATCATAACCCTAGCTGCTTCCTTGTTGGTCCCAATATTTGCACCCTCGATTTTATCAAAAAAATTCTGCTAGTGTTTTATTCAATTTCTCATAAAAACTACCGGAGAGAGAGAGGACCGGTTGTAGCGGTATAACGTTTTCATGTACCTAAACCAGTCCGTAAAGTCGTGCTGGTTGACTACCAGTAAATCTCAAGCTCGCATAAAAGACATCCATGATCTCATCCATTTTGTTCATGACCAGTAGTTTTTTGTTCAATTTTTAAATTTATCTTCATTTCAATTTTTCAACATTTGAATCATTCATATTATCATGTCTCTCAATCTGTTCTAACTATAGCAATTGGGTTAGTTTTCCTTCATATGTGTGTTTTTTCATGACGCCCATTTTCAAAACTCGGAAAAAAAGGTTGATGAAAATTTTTGGAAAAGAACCAGTCAGTTATTGAATTTATTACAAAAAAAAAGAAATATCGACCTCAAACAAATTGACAAACCGTACCCAACATAATGATCCTGGAGTTATTTGTACAAAAATTTTTCTGAAGTCAACTTATGTTGCTGGGTTTTTATATGCAACTGTGGACATTGCAACCCGGTGCAGAAAGTCAAATCAGCCTTCAAGCGATGGGTACAAACCCTGGTGTAAAATACAGAAGCCTAAACTCTCTCTCTCTCTCTCTAATTCTCTCAATACAGTAGTTGCTTCGGTATTGCTTCCGTGAAGCTAGAAGCTCTAGAAACTCTTTATATTCAGAGAAAAAAGCCTGCCCTTAACTAGCGAGAGGTATATAGGCAACGCGAGCTCACCATCAAACTATAGTTTTATTGTCACAGATTGCTCTGTCTTAACTCATTCTTTTTTATTGGTGCTACTAATATTAGCCTAATTGTTGTGATAAACTTATTAAATCTTTCCGGTTTGAATGGCTGGTGTTCGACGTGGCAGATCTGGCTCGACTCTAGCTGGGGAAGACTCGTGTGCGAAGTGTACGAAAGGCAGTGGGGCTTCCGGTGAACAGTGGATCCAGTGCGACATTTGCGAGGCATGGTTTCACAATTTCTGCTCAGGACTTCCTGTCGACCTCATACCTCAAGTTGTTAAACAAGCTAGGTTACTTCTTTTTCGCTGCAATTTTTGTTTTTGAACAAACATACAAGTACAGTTGCAAAATTGAAAGAAATTAATGCTGAAACTATATCTGAGCAATTGCCTGTTGTGGTTGAAAAAATTACAACTCAAGTTAATCTTGCAGACCCAGTGCCGGATCGGGGACACTTGGGTCCCCCATTGCCACCCTCTCCCGCCATTCATAATATGGACAGCATTGATAAACGTATTGAATTTAGAATTCAGAATATACCTGAACCTAAAAACTTGTCCAATGCAAAGCGTTTGGAACACGATGAAGAACATTTAAAGAATATTCTAGAAACAATCGGTGAATGGGATAAAAACAACATTAATCTGGTAAAACGGCTTGGTCCCTTTAATGAACAATCGGATCGCCCTCGGTCTTTTATTGTTAAATTTTCCAATGAATGGACTGCTAGGAAATGCTTGACAAAAGGATATAAACTTCGGAATTATGATTACCCAGTCTATATTAACAAATCGCTGTCAAAAGAAGAAGTTATTTTGGAAAAGCGTGTTTTGAAAAAACGCTGAGAGCTCATGCAAAAAGGAATTCCTGAAGTGGAAATAAAAATCAAAAATCTAAAGCTTTTCCATAACAACGTAGAAATTATTATCCAGTCTTGACTATCAGACATTAGTATTATTGTGTGGAACATTCGCAGTATGGCGATTGTACAAAAACGATTAGACTGTGTTAACTTTCTATCTGTTTACAATCCTGAGTTTCTATGCCTTTCAGAGACCTGGCTGGATACTACTGATAATATCCTTCCTGACTGTGGTTATACTGTTATATCACAAAACAATAGGCAAAACGGTATTCATGGCGGAGTTGCAATTGTGTACAAATCTTGCTCCCAGTATTCCGCTTACGATTTTACTAGCGTTGATTACGATTTTGCTTGTGGTTGTTTTATCAACTCCGATCCGCCTTTGCTTGTTGTTACTATTTACAACCCACCAATTTCTTCCGAGTACCGCATTCAGAGTAATGTGCTCAACCCGTGTATTTTATCATATACTAGTAGATTTGCTGCTAGGCATCCTGATGGCTTTACTTGTATTTGCGGCGACTTTAATTCACCAGATATCTGTTGGACGTCCTATACCGCTTGTTCAGACTATTCAAAGTCAATCATTGATTTGTTTGAACAGTTTAAGGGCGTTCAATTAGTTGTGAACAGTATTCATGTTAACGGCAATATTTTAGACATTTTTGTTACTAACTGTCAAAATCTTTGCTCTGTATCTGTCCTTTCCAGCACTTTTTGTTCGGATCATTATCCAGTTTCTAGCAACATTCACATTAATTAAAACGAACGGACATCCAGTTCCTGCGATGTTCCCGTTTACTTTGAAGGCAATTTTAATCTTGCTAATTTTGACCTTGGTCTGATGTAATTCAACAATTTTCTTTTGTACTATTATCAAATGGATGCTCAACCTTTTTTTGATAGTTGGTACAACATCCTAATCAATGCAGTTTACATGTCTGTTAATGTCAAGCGCAAGAAAAGGCAGCTTTTACCGTTTTATTTTTCTAGCCACTCTTTTCACGTCACTAATCTGGTTGCTACTGAGGAGAGAGGGTTAAAGTCTGTTGGGTTACTTAGCTCTCACAAATTTGGTGATTTGCAGGCTACCCTTATGGAGTCCATTGAGCTTGACAAATTAACATTAATATCTAGGTTTGAAATTTTTGATACAAATAATTGTTACAAATTTCTCAGAATATTTATCTGGTGGTGGTATGCTACCTCCTGAAATTACTTACATGTCAGTAAAAGCGTCAAACGAACATGGCAAAGCAAACTAATTCAGTACGTTTTGATATTCGGTTTTTAAACAAGAGTGGTTTTTTACGCCGATGCCTGAAGTGAGCGAAGACACTTGTATTAAATTAGATGAAATCAATTTTGGTTCCAGTGATGTTGAACTGCTTTTAAAGAAAATTCCGGACACTGCCTCGGTTGCAGCTGATGGTATCCCCCCTTTCATTATTAGAAACTGTGCCAATATTTTAGCGCCGCTTGTTTACGTTCTTTTTACTTGGATTATTTCTACGCGTCTCTGGCCAAATATTTGGAAACAAGCGTATGTTATACCTTTTCTCAAATCTGGCAGTAAAATTGATGTGTGTAACTACAGAGGCAATAGTATTTTACCTCGATTGTTTCTCGTTCTAGAGAAGATCCTCTTTAATTTCATTTACAACCATGTTCGTGACGAACTCTCAAATGCACAGCACGGTTTTCGATGCCGGCGCAGTACGTTTACTCAGCTATTAGACAAGATTGATAAAGTGTGCAGCTCTTGTGATGGTAATATTGATTATTATTCTGTTTATTTTGATGTTCAAAAAGCATTTGACACTGTGTCACACAATAAGTTATTATTCAAACTACGCGCTTTTGGTTTTGATGATGCGTTTATTGAGTTATTTTCTTCGTATCTTCCAGGTCGCACTCAGAGAGTTCGCATAAATACTTCTCTTTCGTCCTTTACTGCTGTTCCCAGTGGTGTACCACAGGGCAGTATTTTGGGCCCTTTGTTATTTTGGTTTAACTATCCACCCCAGCAAAACTGTGTTACTCACAAATGTCACAAACAGCCAGTTTTTTTCTTAATGATACTCACATAACTATATCCAATTCGGTTAAAGATTTGGGTCTCAATTTATGTCCAGACCTTAATTGGAACAACCATATCAATATTATATTGGGCAAAAGCAAGCGGAGTTTTTATTATATCAAACGGACTGTTCCTGTTAGCGCCCCGGTAAAGACGAAATTCTCTTTGTAAGTTGCCTGTGTTCAAAGTATTCTTTTGAATAACTCATGTGTCTGGAACCCAAATGTGACTTTGCTCAAAAAAATGGAAAAACTTCACAAGAAAGCTGTAAAATGGGTTTCTGGGAGAGATAATTATGTTGCTGCACTTTTGACTTTACGTATTTTACCCATTCGCTATCACATTATCCTGAATGACCTTGTTCTTTTCAGTAAGTTTCTGCAAAACCGTTAAAATTTTAATATTTTTTAATCATGTTTCTTTTTATTACTCATGAGCGGGTAATCGGTCTAGCGATACAACTGTGTTCGCGCTACCGAAACTCTGCAAGATCACCACATGGGGAAGCTATTTTTATCGGACTGTGGAGAACGCAAACTATTTTTCAGCAAAGGGGATCAACCTGTTGCAGAATCCATCAACTGTGAAAAAACATCTAGAAACACTGTTATTCAACAAACTGACGGATTTTAATTTGAACTCTTCATGTTCCTTTTTTTAAAGTGTAAATGCGCGACTTGTCGCCTTTAGTGCTTTTTTACTTTTTATTTTGTCATTGCCCATTATCAGGGAATAAAGTCTTTTAGTAGTAGTAGTATGACTAGATTTTTTATAATTTTTTTAACACTGATTGATACCATGTGTAGTTTTTATTGTTTTTAATTTTCAGTTACTGATGATGTTGCTGATGCAATGAAAACGTTTTAACTAACTTGATGTTCTTACGGAGTTCTCTCAATACAGGTTGTGAACGCTGCCTGTGTACTCGGCACTATTAATGGTAAAACTACTTTCAAAGAATTTTTTTTATATATAAAGCCAAGTCGCTTTCTACCTTTTGGAGTCACTTTCAACTCCGGTTTATCTGTGCAGTTGTTAGTCTGAATCTGGTTGGCGTGATTACCAACCATCTGATTCGCTTTAGTTCCATGCCCATTATACTTCACTCTTCCATTCAGAGAATTTTCCGAGGATTTTGACTGGATAATGTGATGAAGGGACTCCTGACTGTAACCTCGGTTAGTATGGTACTTTTGCCCTTCTGATAACCCTTAAAAGGACTATAAAAAAAAGAGAAAAAAGAATAAATAAAAATATAATAAAAAGCTTGAGGCAGTCGGAATTTTGGACAAATCTTCGTGTAAATAATCAAGTCAAATGAAAAGGACTTAAACACTTGTCATCTTCTTTTATCATTATCACTTCCATATCTAGAAAATTCCAAGGATTTTGACTGGAATACGTAATGAAGGGACTCCTGACTGTAACCTCGGTTACTATGATACTTTTGACCTTGTGCCAGTCGGTTATATCTGGAGGATTGACCTTGAGGGACGCGAAAATGCGTGATTTTGGAGTGAAGTTTTAATTTTCAAAATTTCGAATGGAGCTTGTCATGCTCAGTTTTCTCGCATCAACTGAAAACACAAAGTGCAAAATCAGAACGACCGAATTTACAATTGCGGGAAAATACTTAAGAAAACAGCAGGAAATTGCTATTCGCAATTTCCAGATACAAAATAAGACACGAGTAGAGCCGTCTTATCTTGAAATAGGAGGAGAGATAATCAAGAGAAAAGAGTACAATTATTCGAACCGAACCAGAGTGAACCTTCAACGGAATAGTGGACAGCTTGAGTGTCCCAATGGTTCAGACAAAAACTCCAATTCTAGAGTCAAAACTTATTTCTGTTATCAAAACTGATTAGTATTGAATTTATCTAGTTATCTTATTTAATTCTCGAGTTGCTTATCAATTTAATTACTCCCTGTGCTTGAGTGCATCAACATGTGAGTCCCTAATTTAATTTTCTCGAGTGTGTTTTATGATTGTTATGTTGAGATAAGGCGAGTTTTAGGTTGATCCATCTGAAATGGATCAAAGTTCCACTGTCCAATAAAAAGTAACTTAACGGATTGTTCCGACCCTGTTTTTAACGGCGTTCGTGTGTTTTGGGTATTTTGAGACCTAAGTATGGGGACGT